TTCCAAAGGTTATTAATAGAGACCCTCCTGGGTGGAGGGCAGACGAAGACCACATTCTCGGGCGGGGCGGGGTGGGGGTGCAAGTCTCTCCAAAGGCCACGATGCTGGAGAGGTGAGGAGCAGTGCTCCCTCTAAGCTGTGTTAGCGTGAGCTCAGCTAGCTTGCCGTTTCTTAGCCTCCGGCTCACACCTTTTCGTCTCGGCTCAGGAAGGAGGGCTCCAGAGCAAACTGATTGATGCAGCAGCCAAATCGCTGGCTCACAACTTTAATGCTGGTAGCTCGCAAAGTAGAATTCTTGCTCACAAGACTCCACAGCTTAGAGGGAGCATTGCTCCAGAGCAAACTAATTGATGCAGCAGCCCAATCGCTGGCTCACAACTTTAATGCCGGTAGCTCACAAAGTAGAATTTTTGCTCACAGGACTCCACAGCTTAGAGGGAGCATTGGTGGGGGGTGGGTGCAAGTCTCTCCAAAGGGCACGCTGGAGAGATGAGGGGCCATTCTGGGGTTCCCACCTCCAGGCTGAGGGATTCCTGGTGATCTGGGGGTGGAGCCTGGGGAGGGAGGTGTGGAGGGTATAGTACCACAGAGTTCACCAAACCTGCCATTTTTCCCCGGAGAACTGATCTCTGTTGTCTGGAGAGTTGTCATTCCAGGAGATCTCCAGGCCGCACCTGGAGGCTGGCAACCCTGGTCTGAGCACTTCCTCTTTTTGTGTCGTCGTCCCCAAATCGCCTGCCAAGCATTGCACTCCGAGGAAATGCTTTTCTTGGGAGAAAGGCCAAGCAAATACCCAGGGACTGACTTCCGAGTAGATCGATTTGCACGAGTGTCTGGGAGACCCAGGTTTGAATCCCCACTCATGCTACGAGAGCTTGCTGGGTGACCTTCGGCCAGTCGCACACTCTCAGCCTGGCCTACCTCACAGGGTTGTTGCAAGAGGAAAATGCGGGAGAGGAGAGTGTAAGCTGAGCTGCAAGGTGTGCAAGCATGTAATAATAATTATTCAAGAATTTGTAAACATGAGTATGAAAATCCGTCAATACAAAAGTGCACAATTACAATAATACAGCAAATATTTTGTGTTGTTACAGGGGATGGACAAAATTCTCCGGAGTATCTTCTGCATTGTGTTCTGAAGCATATCAGGGACTGGGGGAGGCCTGGCCTCTGCTTCCTTCCCTCCCTCCCTCCCTCCCTCCTCGGCCTCTACTTCCTCCCCTGCCGGCTGTGTGGGGCGTGGGGTAGGAGAGGAGACTAGAAGAAAATGGTACCCCACTTTCCTGAGTAGATATAAACTACCTGCCTACCAGTTACTGGCGAAACGTCAGGTCCTACAATGCCAAGACCACGGCCACACAACCCGGAAAATCTACAGCAACTAATGAACTCCGACCGTGAAGGCCTTCGAAAACATATCTATTGTCCGTCTGTCTGTCCGCCTGTCCATCCATCCATCCATCCATCCATCCATCCATCCATCCATCCATCCATCCATCCATCCATCTATCCATCTATCTATCTATCATTTACCGCCCTTCCCTGAGTTGGGCTCAGAGCGGTTGGCAGCAACAAAAAAATACAATATAAAATCGAAAGAAAAACAGTCCAGCAAAAATTAAAGAACATTAAATTGCGCCAAAATAAATACAGTATGCATCAATGTCCTGCAAGTGGGAGAAAGCAGAGTGGGGGGGGGAGTGCCAGGTAGGCGGTACCCCTTATTGTCCTCCTCTATCAAAAGCCTGCAGAACATCTCTGCCTTAAATACCCTGCAGAACTGCATAAGAAGAGGAGAAAAAATTGGATTTGTGCCCCGCCCTTCACTAACTGAAGGAGTCTCAGAGTGGCTTACAAACTCCTTTCCCTTCCCCTCAGCTCCCCACAACAGCAGGTCTCTTTCAGGGGTCATTTTCTGCGGTATTGCACAGGAGCGGAGCTCCGGCAGTAAGGAGCCCAGGGGGTGGGCACATGCAACAAGCCCCGCCCCCTGCTCCCAGCAGCCCTCAGTCGGGCCATGAGGAGCAAGAAGCAGCCAGGTAAGTTGCAAAGCCCACCTTCAGGTACAAGCTCTCCCTCCTCTGTGAGGGCAGATCTGCGCGTTCCCCCCATAGCTAGCCATCCAAAACAGTCCAGTGGAGCCTGAGCGGTGGGTGTTGCCTTCTGACACACTTCCGGCGATGTCAGGGTGTGTGGCCTATGCAAATAAGTAATGCTAATGAGCTCCTGCCCCTCTTTTTCTACGAAACGACCCCTGGCTCTTCTGGTGTTCTTATCAGGCGAAGGCCTCGGCCCCTCTGCCCTGTTGTTGGCCCTCCAGAGGAACTGGCTGGCCCCTGTGTGAGACGGGAGGTTGGACTAGAGGGACCCTCCCTGGTCTGACCCAGCAGGGCTCTTCTGGTGTTTTTCTCAGGGGAAGGCCTCAGCCTCTCTGCCCTGTTGCTGGCCCTCCAGAGGAACTGGTTGGCCCCTGTGTGAGACGGGAGGCTGGACTGGATGGACCCTCCCTGGTCTCATCCAGCAGGGCTCTTCTGATGTCCTCGTGCCCGGCTGCCGGTGGCACGCTGAGAACCTTCCCAGGAAGTGAAACAGCCGGTCTGTCTCTGACCGGGGCCAGTTACCCCAAGCCTACGTGGAGAGCGATGCGTTGGAGGCACTTACACACCCGGCCGTATTTTCCTGCTCTGCTCACTCTGACCTGGATGCCGCCAGTACTGTTTTTTCCATGCCCATATCCTGCCTCCCTTTCCTGATTCAAACAGTCGGGCAGCTGTCGCGTCCTGGCATCTACTGGCAGAGCAGCCTCCCCTGGCTCGGGCAGACTGGCTCACTGGCCCTTCGTGCCAGGCCTGAGACAAAAACCTCTGGGGTCTGGATGAGCTAGGGCTTGCCAACTTCCAGTTGGGGCCTGGAGATTTCCTGGAAATAGAACTGATCACACTATGGAGAGCAGTTCCCCTGCTTCGGAGGTTCGGCTCTATTACATTATACTGTGCTGAGGCCCCTCCCCACTCCAAACCCCGCCCTCCCCAGGCTCCACCTCCAAATCTCCAGGAATCTCCCGACCCAGAGCTGGCAACCCTAGAGTGGGTAAGGAAGGTGCAGGAAATACAGGAAATACCAGAGCCACATTTCCCATGCCTCGCTCCTTGCATGGCCTCCCCACGATTTGTTTTAAATAGCTGCCTTGGTGGCCCTTCTAAGGACAGAAACGCGGGGGACAAATTTGTATAAATAAATACATATAAGGACCCGGGGATCTCCATTCTTGCTTGTATCTGATGAAGGGAGCTTGGAGTCTCAAAGGTTTATACCCTGTCTTTAAAGTGTCACTGGACTCAGATCGTGCCCTTTCAATGTTACCCTCTGGGCTGGCACTTGTGTATATGAAAGGGAAATCAAAGGAAAATGCTTTCTCTTATTTGGAGGCTGTGGCTCAGTGGCAGAGCCTCTGCTTGGCATGCAGAAAGTCCCAGGTTCAATCCCCAGTGGCATCTCCAGTTAAAAAGGACCAGGCAGGAGGTGATGGGAAAGACCTCAGCCTGAGACCCTGGAGAGCTGTAAAGAGGGGCCGTGGCTCAGTGGTAGAGCCTCTGCCTGGCATGCAGAAGGTCCCAGGTTCAATCCCCAGTGGCATCTCCAGTTAAAAAGGACCAGGCAGGAGGTGATGGGAAAGACCTCCGCCTGAGACCCTGGAGAGCTGTAAAGAGGGGCTGTGTAGCTCAGTGGCAGAGCATCTGCTTGGCATGCAGGAGGTCCCAGGTTCAACCCCTGGCATCTCCAGTTAAAAAGGATTGGGCAGGAGGTGATGGGAAAGACCTCCGCCTGAGACCCTGGAAAGCTGTAAAGAGGGGCTGTGGCTCAGGGGAAGAGCATCTGCTTGGCATGCAGGAGGTCCCAGGTTCAGTTCCTGACAGCATCTCCTGTTGAAAAGGACCAGGCAGGAGGTGATGGGAAAGACCTCCGCCTGAGACCCTGGAGAGCTGTAAAGAGGGGCTGTGGCTCAGTGGAAGTGCAGAAGGTCCCAGGTTCCATCCCCAATTGTTGTTGTTGTTGTTCAGTTGCACAGTCGAGTCCAACTCTTCGCAACCCCATGGACCACATCACACCAGGCCCTCCTGTCCTCCATAGTTTGCTCAATTTCATGTCCATTGCATCTATGACACTGTCTAACCATCTCATCCTTTGCCGTCCCCGTCTTCTTTGACCTTCAGTCTTTCCCAGCATCAGGGTCTTCCCCAGTGAGGGCTCCCTTCTTATCTGGTGGCCAAAGTATTTGGGCTTCAGTTTCATTATCTGGCCTTCCAGGGAACAGTCAGGGTTGATTTCTTTTAGTATGGACTGATTTGATCTCCTTGCCAGTCCGAGGGACTCTCAAGAGTCTTCTCCAGCACCATAGTTCAAAAGCATCTATTCTTCGCCGCTCGGCCTTCCTTATGGTCCAACTCTCACAGCCATACCTTACTACTGGGAATACCATTGCTTTGACCATGCAGACTTTTGTTGGCAGGGGGATGTCTCCACCAGTGTTCCCTCTAAGCTGAGTCAGTGTGAGCCAGCTCACAGTTTTTTAGCCTCTAGCTCACCCATTTTTGTCTTTGCTCGGGAAGGATGGCTCCAGAGCAAACTAATTGATACAGGAGCCGAATCGCTCGCTCACACATGCCAGTAGCTCACAAAGTAGGATTTTTGCTCACAAGAGGGTACATTGGTCTCTACTTTTCATTATGCTGTCTAGGTTTGCCATCGCTTTTTTCAATATCTACCAGTTAAAAGATCTGGTAGCAGGTGATGTGAAAGACCTTCGCCTGAGACCCTGGAGAGCAGCTACCAGTCTGAGAAGACAAGCCTGAACTTGATAGACCGGGGGTCTGGTTTAGTAGAAAGCCAGCTACATGTGTGTTCTCCTGTATTGGAGGGGGGCTGCTCTTTCGGGAATTTGCTGCGCGGCGCACTGTTCTCTTGCCACACCTCATTTCCTTCCTTTTTTGTGTGTTCAGGTTCTGGCCAATCAAGGCTGTGAAAATGGGCACGTGACCTCAACTGGCGACTGCTGTGATCTCTGCCCACCAGGCTACGGAGTTACAGTTCCCTGTGGCAACACCAATACCAAATGCGAACCATGCATCGAGAGTGAGTATAAGATGCCCGGGGAAGAACTCTTGGACTGTATGACCCAAACACTCCCGACTGACCTACATAGGCAGCAAAAACACAGGGTAGAGCGGCCGCAAACATTCCATTGCTGTGGGTAAGAAGTGCAGACTGGTCCTTTAACTTACCAGGACATTTCCTGTTGGGGGGCTGCCCCGGAGGGCTACTGGTGGCCGGGAGCAAGCTGAGCTAAGTGGCCCCTGCAGCTCATACCAGGACTGTGACAACAGTAACTCTGGCCCTGGTTCGAATCCAGACGGCCTTGCAGCTTTGCTCCAGGGCAGTTTGAATGTCCCAACCCACCCTCTGTGGGGAGGTTCTCAGCGTACCACCGGCAGCCGGGCACGAGGACATCAGAAGAGCCCTGCTGGATGAGACCAGGGAGGGTCCATCTAGTCCATCCTCCCGTCTCACACAGGGGCCAGCCAGTTCCTCTGGAGGGCCAACAACAGGGCAGAGAGGCCGAGGCCTTCCCCTGAGAAGAGCCTCAGAAGAGCCAGGGGTCATTTCATAGAAAAAGAGGTGCAGGAGCTCATTAGCACAACTTATTTGCATATGCCACACACCCTGAAATCACCGGAAGTGTGTCAGAAGGCAACACCCACCGCTCAGGCTCCACTCGACTGTTTTGGATTGCTAGCTATGGGGGGAACGCGCAGATCTGCCCTCACAGAGGTGGGGAAAGCTTGTACCTGAAGGTGGGCTCTGCAACTTACCTGGCTGCTTCTTGCTCCTCGTGGCCCGACTGAGGGCTGCTGGGAGCAGGGGGCGGGGCTTGTTGCATGTACCCGCCCCCTGGGCTCCTTACTGCCGGAGCTCCGCTCCTGTGCGCTCCCGCAGGAAATGACCCCTGCATATTTGTATTGTTATAATTATCTTAAATAAAAGTTTGAAAAAAAATTTTTTTTTAAAAATGTGGTTTTTAAGCCTTAGAGGGAGCAGGATCAGTTACGTAGGCGCCAGTGAAGCAGTGGAGGGACCTCATTCTGGGGTGCGGCATTTCTCCTCCCGTGAACTGAAACTCTCCCTCCTGTGCGTCTCTCTCCGCAACAGACATGACGTTCTCCTCCGTCGCCAGCGCCACGAAACCGTGCCAGCCGTGTTCGATGTGCCCGGGCCATGTGCCCAGACTGGAGGTGTGCACTCCTACCCACGACACCGTGTGCGCCGTCAGCTGCCCACAGGGACAGTACCTGCATGCGAGAAACGGGAGCCACGGTGCCGGGCATTGCCGTCCTTGCCAGGTTTGCCCCGAAGGCTACGGAGCCGTCCAGCCGTGTGGACCCAACGCCAACACCATGTGCCAGAAATGCCCCAAGGGCTACTACTCAGAGGAGAAGAGCTCTTTGGAACCGTGTCTCCGCTGCCGCCTGGAGTGCCACGAGAGCGAGGTCATGATCCAGGAGTGCACCCCGCATTCGGACACTCTCTGCATGGGTAGGTACCAATGGGCAGGGCTATTTTGGGGCAGGAACGCACAGGAACGGAGTTCCGGCTGGCTCCCAAGTTGGCCACACCCAGCAGGACCTCATTAGCATAACAGGCCACACCCAACAGCAGAAACTCATTAGGATTGGCTACATTAGGGGTGTGTGGCCTAACATGCAAAGGAGTTCCTGCTCCAAAAAAAGCCCTGATTTTTGACAACAAACAAGGTAAACAGAATAAGAAGGAAAAGGTGGGTGTGGCTGGATGAGCACACTTCTGGTAATATGGGGGTGCGGCCTAATGTGCTAATGAACTGAGCTGTCGGGGTGTGGCCTATTATGCTAATGAGTTTCTGTTGTTGGGTCCCTCTAGTCCAGCCTCCCTTCTCACACGGTGGCCAGCCAGTTCCTCTGGAGGGCCAAGAACAGGGCAGGGAGGCCGAGGCCTTCCCCTGATAAGAACCTCAGAAGAGCCCTGCTGGATCAGACCAGGGACGGTCCATCCAGTCCATCATCCCGTCTCACACAGGGGCCAGCCAGTTCCTATGGAGGGCCAACAACAGGGCAGAGAGGCCGAGGCTTTCCCCTGATAAGTACATCAGAAGAGCCCTGCTGGATCGGACCAGGGAGGGTCCCTCTAGTCCAGCCTCCCATCTCACACAGGGGCCAGCCAGTTCCTCTGGAGGGCCAGCAACAGGGCAGAGAGGCCGAGGTCCTCCCCTGACGTTGCCTCTTGGCTCTGGGATTCAGAGGATTAGTGCCTCTGAATGCGGAGTGTTAAATACTGGGTTGCAGTGATCAGCTCTAGTGTATTCAGTGATTTCAGCACACTACAAGGACACCCAGCAAGGTTTGAGCCCTGCTTATAAAGCATGCACACACCACACCCATCACACACCCACTCCCAAGGATAGGCTGTTTACATGACAGCACTTATCTATTGGTTTGCCCCAGGATCCCAGGGGAGCTATTGTTCTAGAGGAGCAAGCTAAACCCGTTTCTGGTACAGCGTGAGGAACGGCTTAGGCTCCACACATAACACGGAGGTTCCCTTGAGTCATCATGGCTCGTGATCTTCCATGTGGGTGCGGCCTAATGTGCTAATGAGCTGTGCTGCCAGGGGTGTGGCCCAATATGCTAATGAGTTCCTGCTGTTGGGTGTGGCCTATTATGCTAATGAGTTCCTGCTGGGCTTTTTCTACAAAAAGAGCCCTGCCTAAACCTATTTTCGATCGGGGGGGCGGGGGGGGATACGATTGAGGTATTTATAATTAGGAACAGACTGGGAACAGTTTCAAATGGGTAACCCTGGCCCCGGGCATATGGGCCAGATAACGTATCAACGGGGGGGGGAGGGGGAGGCGTGGCTGTTTTCCCTGGAGCGAAATAAAGCGTGGTAACCCAATCACACGGCGATGCTGGAGCAAAGAAGTGGCGCGGCAAGCGTTCCGCGTTTGTGCACATCCGCAGTTCCGCGGAGCAGCGCTGCTTTCAGTTTCGTGTTTGTGCGCATGTGCTTACGAAAAACATCTGGTTCGCGACGGGACGTGGACGGGCGCCGGATGCCACGGGATACTAGCGCTCCCGCGATCAGACGCCTGCCCCTGCCCCGCATTTTCCGGATACCACTGCACTTTCTGAGGTCGTTTTTTACTGCGCATCTTCGGCGGGATGCCACGGGTTGGCCACGGGTGCGCTACGCTTCCCAGATGTTGTGATCGCGCCCTGAAAATCCGCCTGACATTCGTGCCTTTCGCGCGGCAAATCCTCCGTGTGACCGGGGCCCATGTTGGTCTGCAATAGATGAGCCAGATTTGAGTCCCTTAGAGACCATGAAGACTTTTGGAGCATAAGCTTTCAAGAGTCCCAGCTCTCTGAGGAAGGGAGCTTTGACCTCCAAAACGTATATCTCGAAAATTTTGTTGGTCTCTCAGAGGCTGCTAACTCGGTGTCAGAGTCTCGCAGCGATCAGTTCTCAACCATGTTCCTTCGAAAAGGTTTCAGTTTATTGAGTACAGTGAAGGCAAGTCATCTGTGCATACATTCCGTGTCAGAACTAACTCTAAAGGTGGGAGGGGGATAGATATACACAAGGCTATTTTGGGGCAGGAACGCACAGGAACGGAGTTCCGGCTGGCTCCCAAGTTGGCCACTCCCAGCAGGAACTCATTAGCATAATAGGCCACACCCAACAGCAGAAACTCAAAAAGCCCTGGGAATACATGTCATTGGACAAATACAGGGGTCATTTCCTGCAGGAGCGCACAGGAGCAGAGCTCCGGCAATAAGGAGCTCAGGGGGTGGGCACATGCAACAAGCCCCGCTCCCTGCTCCCAGCAGCCCTTAGTTGGGCCACGAGGAGCAAGAAGCAGCCAGGTAAGTTGCAGAGCCTCCCCCCCCCGGCCCTCCTTCAGGTACAAGCTCTCCCTCCACTGTGAGGGCAGATCTGAGCATTCCCCCCCCCCCATAGGTAGCAATCAAAAACAGTCCAGTGGCACCTTTCATACAAAGTTTTATTCAGGTCTCACCTTGTGCTTCCTTATAATATCTTTGTTGTTCAGTCGCACAGTCAAGTCCGACTCTTCGCGACCCCATGGACCAGATCACGCCAGGCCTTCCAGTCTTCCTCCATCCTCTGAAGTTTGCTCAATTTCATGTTCGTTGCATCTATGACACTGTGTAACCATCTCATCCTTTGCCGTCCCCATCTTCTTTGACCTTCAGTCTTTCCCAGCATCAGGGTCTTCTCCAGGGAGTGCTCCCTTCTCATTGGGTGGCCAAAGTATTTGAGCTTCAGTTTCATTATCTGGCCTTCCAGGGAATAGTCAGGGTTGGTTTCTTTTAGGATTGACTGATTTGATCTTCTTGCAGTCCAAGGGACTCTCAAGAGTCTTTTCCAGCACCATTTAACGTCAATAAAAAGCAAATTTGCATATATTTTGTAATAAAAACGTGTCTGTGAGATTTGCTCATGTCTTGAGGCTCTCAAACATCTGACGTTTAACTATGTGGCTCTTACGGTGAGCATGTTCGGCCACCCTTGGTCTGGAGGGTGTAGTTAAAGGAGGTCGCCCGGCCCTACCTGGACGTTGTCAGTCCTTTCAGGTGTGGCCACATCTCTCCACAAGGAGGTGCGGGGGCTCCCAACGTCCAATGGGGGTTGTCAGCCTCCAGTTGGCACAACCAAACTACACACAACCAACCAGAGGTCATTTCGGGGGGGATCGCAGTTCCCCCGGGTGAGGTACGGGGGGCGGGGCACATGACGAAGCCCCGCCCCCTGCTTCCAGCTGCCCCGCTTCCAGCCCTCATTCAGCTAGGAGGAGGCAGGAGAAGTGGGAGGGTAAGTTGCTTCTTCCCTGCCTCTCCCCACCCCTGCCTGCCTGGGGCCAGGGAGGGCCTTCGCGGTACTTCCTTGCACTCCCGCCGGCCTTTGGAG